TCCCACCCCCCCCCCCCCGAAATCAGGACAAACATGACTGTTTTATATAGAGTAAGAGTGGCTTTTTAATATATTTATTTTTACAATTTAGAAACTGCATTTTTTTGAAGCAAGCATCCAGGATGTACATTATCATGTCATGTTTTATATCAACGTATTGATAGTCTTTATATTAACATGGGTGGTAGTTCATCGACTTAATAGAAAAAATAAGTTATAGTAAGAAAAGTGATGTTTGTGTAGAAAGAGATAAATTATTTAGGGTCTTGTTAGATAGCTTCTGCCTTAGGGTTACCACGTTAACCCAACATTTTTATTGTAGCTACAAATTCTATCTAAAAAATAATGAAGACTTGATAAGAAATAGCTGATTCTGACGTGGAGTGCTTGGCGAACAGGTGCCTGCCTGGCGTCTCGGAGCTGCCTTCGTGTTGACGTTTGGACGTCGGAGGGCTGGCTTGGTGCAGCATCGGCAGGCAGCCCTGTGGAGGGTGGGGGTCTGCGAGTTACTGTACAGGTTGAGGCCGGCCTCCTTGGTCCTTTATTTGTGAATTTTAAGCTTGAATTCCACTTTCCCTTCAAAGGGGTCATGGGGGTTGTCATAGGTCACATGTTCTGCCAGGATCTTGCACACGATGACCACTTCGGTGTCCCTGGGGACGTTGAGGAGCTTCGCGGCCACTAAGGGGTTGCTGTAGTGGGGCTGGAATGGAAGCGTGGGAAGGGGAGAAAGTCAGGAACCTCGTGCTGAGGGCGGGCACGCAGGTGGCAGAGGCAGTTCTTACATGCTGTCTGTCTGAGTAAGGCCACATAGGCTCTGCTCCAGGCCCTGGAATTCACCGGGGTCACTGTCTGCCCACTAGAAACGAGAATTGCTCTGGAGAGGACAGACACTAACAGTGACAAATTCAACTTCAAATTTTTGATATTTGGTGAAAATTAACATAAAAATCAGGAAGAAGCAAGAGAGTGAGAGGAAGTGCTTTAAAATGGATATGCAGCTGTGTAAAAGGATTTGGAGGCTGTCGAAAACTAAAACAATTAGATTTGATAATGTATGTTTTACATGAGAACAATGTGTTTTCAGGTAGTTAGGAGAACATGGGTTTGGGAAACAGCCAGAGAGCGGTAACTGGTCAGGATGGGCTAAGTAATGCCTTATTTCGTTCTTACAGGTAAGACACTTAGGGCTTTCCTCTTGCTAGTCATTGCTAAGTTTGAAATGATTCAGTAGCTGTTGTAGGCGGAAGTGAAGCACCTACCTGTGCCTTCTTCCCGTAGTAAGGGAAGTAGTGTAGACTGAAGGTGCCGTTGGGCGGGTAGTACTCCACCTGCAGGGGCTGGACGTCCTTGTGGTGCTGGTCCTGGGGGAGGAGAGGCCACGCCTGAGCAAGGCAGGATCTGGGTGCCTGGGTGCACATGTATGTGTGTCTGCATGTCTCTGAGTGCCAGTCTGTCTGTGTGCATGCATGTGCCATGTGTGTGCATCTCTATGTGCGTGCAAACGTGTTCACATGCGTGTCTGCATGTCTCGTGTGTGGCATGTGCATGTGTGCACCATGTAGGGGACCACATAAACACTTGGTTGTGTAATTAGCATAAATGATCTAATCTTTATAATCAGTACTGGGCTCCCATTAGGGGTGCACTTTGTTAGTGCAGAACCTCCTGGTGACTTATCAAACTTGTATGTTTACCATTTTAAGTTCTTGTAGGATAACCAAGGCGCATAGAGCCCAGAACGCTTGTTTGTCTGCACATGGGATGCAAGCAGATGAGACTGTACGGGCTGTTTGCCAGCACTGGCTGAACGTGTGCGTGGCTTTCTGGGATCAGGATCTGCTTTCAGAGTCAGTGACTTGCCTGATGGATAGCTTGAGCCTCTCGGAGAATAGAGGACGGCCACCCTGGTCTCCATTAAAATCTCAAGTCAGCCCAGCTGGCATGGCTCAGTGGTTGAGTGTTGACCTCTGAACCAGGAGGTCACAGTGCAATTCCCAGTCAGGGCACATGCCCGGTTGGGGGCTCGATCCCCAGTGGGCATGCAGGAGGCAGCCAATCAGTGATTCTCTCTCATCATTGATGTTTATCTCTCCATTCCTCTCTGAAATCAATAAAAATATATATTAAAAAAAAATCTCAAGTCAGCCTGCACAGGTGTGGTTGAAATAACTAAAAAAGGAAAACAAAACAAGATGACCCCGAGTCTCACAGAGCGATCACAGGCTTTGGGCGGGGCTGGGGGGGGGGGGGGGAGGTGGTGTTTCTGCGGAATACCCAAGGGGAGTGCCCACTGCTAATAGCAGGGAGCCTTTGTTTGAAGGCACAGTGGTGAAAACAAGCTTTGGAAAACATTCAGTGAAGACAAATTTAGGATTTTGGTTTTTTGTTTGTTTTGTTAATCCTCACTGGAGGATATTTTTCCCATTGATTCTTAGAGAGAGTGGAAGGGAGGGTTCGGGGGGAGAGAGAGAGAGAGAGGGAAACATTGATGTGAGACACACTCCTCACTGGAGGATATTTTTCCCATGATTCTTAGAGAGAGTGGAAGGGAGGGTTCGGGGGGCGGGGGGAGAGAGAGAGAGAGGGAAACATTGATGTGAGACACAGCAATTGATAGCCTCCTGCACGTGCCCCATCTGAGGCTGGGGATCGAACCTGTAACCCAAGCATGTGCCCTTTGACTGGGAATTGAACCCTGGACTCTTCGGTGCTCAACCCAATGCTCTGATCAGTGAGATACACTGGCCAGGGCCAAATTTAGTTTTTTTTTGTGTTGTACTTAAAAACTAGTTTTGAGAAAATCTGGAATAAATTAATGCCAATCCTTAGCAGCCAATAGACATACGCTATTAAACAACTATAGCTGCTGGTAGTCTGACATGTTTTTGTAAATAAGCCAATAAAAAGGACAAAACAATAGAAGTGCCCCCGAAAAAAAGTAGTAGAAGTGCTTTAGTTTCTCCAAGTTGCCAGCAAACATTTTGGAGTGTGTTAGTAATATACTGTCCCAGATGCTTTTTGAATCAAAACAATAACACGTTTTTCTCTTACTAGGTTTTTATCCCCTGTAATAAAACTATTTTAAACAATGATTCGTACAGTTTGCGTATCTGGTTTATTAAGCTGACAACTGAGATATTCTTAGGGAAAACCAGTCAAGTTATCCCCACGGGTTTTCTAGCAATACCGGGATGGCCACGGATGGTCACACTCACCAGGAAGGCGCAGTCCACCCTGGGGGCCGTTCTGTTGCTGGGGAGAAACCTGACGATCTGGAAGGGAAGGTGTCCATGTGGCCCCCTGCTCGTCTGAGCGCAGGGAGACCTGCCTGAGCGCCTGAGTGGGGTTCCCACAGGGCACTGAGAAGGGTCTGGAGGTGGTGGGTGGTTCCTGTTCTGATAACCCCCAGCGGGTATTACCAACTCCTTCAAAGCCAGAAGCCCTGCCCCAGGGCTGTGTTCTTGGCCGCCGGCAGGTGGCAGATCTGGACCGGAGGGTCTGAGCCTTCACTGCCACTTCCAGGCCCTCCATGCTGCACCGAATCAGGGCACAGCATACTCCTGTGAGGCAGCTCCCCATCAGCCCATCTGTGCTTCTCCCAATCCAGGCCTTTCTCAGCCTCCTGCAGTCCTGGCCCTGTGTGCCCACTTGTGCGCAGGCCTCGTATGGCACCTGCCTTCTCCCCACACCTGCCCCTGTGTGCACGTGAGTGTGAGCTGCCATCACACCTGCCAGGCAGCTCTGATGAGACCCCAGCTAGGACCCTGGGCATGTGCACCTTGCACAGGTGGGTGGCTTCCTCTAGGCCCGGGAAGATGCTCAGAGTCCCTGGCCCCCAGGCCTCACCTGCTGGCAGCATGGAGCTGTCCCTCCCTCACCCAGCCAGGTCCCACCCCTCGGCTCTCTGTGCACGCCTGTGTTTGCTCGCATTGGCTCTACTCCTGGTCTCCTTCCCTCAGCGCCTGGCCCTGGCTCTGCCAGTGGGTCCCTGGCTCAGGTTAGAAACCTCTGCTCTGGACGGTTCCCAGGTGCCCTCCCAGGGCCTGTACACGGCCCTACTTCTTTCTGAGTATTGTGCACACGTGGCTGCCCCGGCCACGCTGAAGAGCCTTGTGCTCTGTTGCTTGGTGTTCGTCACCACAGAGCATCACGTAGATCAGCGGTTCTCAACCTGTGGGTCGCAACCCCTTTGGAGGTCGAACGACCCTTTCACAGGGGTCGCCTAAGACTTTCGGAAAACACATATAATTACATATTGTTTTTGTGATTAATCACTATGCTTTATGTTCAATTTGTAATGAAACTACATCCTGCATATCAGATATTTACATTACGATTCATAACAGTAGCAAAATTAGTTATGAAGTAGCAACAAAATAATTTTATGGTTGGGGGTCACCACAACATGAGGAACTGTATTAAAGTTCGCGGCTTTAGGAAGGTTGAGAACCACTGATGTAGATGCTGTGCTTGAGTGGGTTGTTTTCGCTTGTATCTGAGAGAGTTGTGCTTGAGTGGGTTGTTTTCGCTTGTATCTGAGAGAAATAATCAGCTTAGGAACCAACATAATGGGTGTGTTCTGAATGAAGGTGCAGAGCACGGAAGGGGCAGCTGGGGCAAGTCTGACCGGTCACCTCTGGAACCTGGACAGGTGGGTGCGCTGAACACGGACGGACCCTCCACCCCAGAGCCATCTCCAATGGGACCTCATCCTGGACCTCTCACCTCCAACCCTGTTATACTCACCCTGTTCATCTTAATAATGAAACACGGCTTTCCTTCCTCAAAGCCGAAGTTGGGGTCCTCCAGGCCTGAGCAGTTTTGCAGCATGTCTGTGGTGAACTTGCAGGAGAACTTGGTGTGGTTCGGGGCCCCGAAGCTTTCTTGGATGAACACCTTGTCGGAGGTGCAGTTGATGTTGTCCTCCTGGGCCGCTGGCGAGTAGCCTGCCAGCACAGACACACCTGTGGGCCCTCTCTCCACGCGGCCACCCTGGGCTGTTAGTGACATGTTCTTAGAAAAGGAAAAATAAAGGCTGTGGGAGCGTTTTCAACCTTACCTTCCAGGAAGTCGTGGAGGGTGTGCACTAGGTCCGTCCAGGTCCCGTTGTCAGAGATATTGTAGGAAATGTCCAGGCCTTCCTCCCCGTAGACGTCTGGCCTCAAGGTCACCCCTGGAAAGAGAGCCTGACACTAGTTTCCCCAAATGTTCATCACATCCAAGCTGGTGGCTGCCGAGTTGGTGAGTTGTGTGCAGAGCTGTCCCAGGTGGGATGCAGCGGGACCAGCAGGGCCCAGGTCTTCAAGGGCAGCCAGGCCAGGAGGCCACGGTCAGGTGTCCTCTGCGCTAGCTGCTCAGGGAGGACCCTGCCCTCCGGCCCGGGAGCCTCGCGGAGGAGCAAGCCTGTCTGGGCTCAGGGTGTGGTGCGGCTGAAGGCCGGCGAGCCTGTCTGGGCGCAGGGTGTGGTGCGGCTGAAGGCCGGGCGGGCCCTTCCCGCACACGAGGCCTGCACCCGTGCCACCCAGGGGGCCACGCTCATTGTTGCAGGTGACAGCTCGCCCAGGGTCGACTGGGTTTCTTACTGAAGTTATATTTGGTGCATATTTGCAAGATCTCCACTGGTGATGGTTAAACACGAATGCGTTCTAACAACATTAATTGTAAAAATAACAAGTGTACAAGTGCGGGAAGTTGAAGTGCCAGCCCGAAGTTCTCTCCGTCTCAAGTCTAGTGTGCATCCTTAGGAAACGTCCTTGTTTCTGTGAATACAAAGATATCACGTGTTTCTTCACATGAATGGGAGCCTGTTTTCCACATGCCACTGTCCTCTCTTCCTGTTCCGACACCAGTTGTAACCACTTTTCCCTGGCATTTCATATCAGCTCACCTCTTTCTGTCCACAAATACCACATCGTGCCTTGTTGTGTGGATGTTTTATGACTTATTTAGCCAGTTCCCTGATTGTACAGGTGACTTTTAAAATAAGTAAGCTAGCTCTGGCAGGTTTGCTCAGTGGTTAGAGCGTTGGCCTGTGGGCCAAAGGGTCTTGGGTTTGATTCCCAGTCCAGGGCACGTACCTTGGTGGCAGGTTCCCCAGCCCCAGTAGGGGCTTATGCAGGAGGCAACCAATTGATGTGTCGCTCTCACATCCATGTTTGTTTTTTTCTCTCTCCCTCCCCCTTCCTGCCACTCTCTCTAGAACTGGATTGAATTACTATTCTGGATTGAAGTACTGACGGACTCCAAGTGGAAACCAAAGCTCTTTCCCTCCCTAAACCCTTCATTCCTGTCTCGCTAGGAACAGTCTTTTGCATATCCTGCCATTATGTCTGCTGTGCGTGTAGGCCCATACAAAGCAAATGGTATAAAGACTCGGTCAACAAAACTGTTTTGATAATTAGAAATCAATGGGGGAAAAAAAACATCCTTGGGTGAGGATTAAAAAAAGTAAGCTAGGGTTTTTGTTGTTTTATGGATGTTGTGAAAGTAACAGTTGTACATGGTTTAAAATACAAACCTCCATAAAGGTCTAAAAGAGAAGAAAGCTCTCCACTCCCCCCTCTCAACTATTTACTCGGAGCGTGCTCTCGGGTTCTCACGGAACTTGTTCATCAGCTTCACCTGGCAGCTGTTGCCCCTTCCCTGCTGCTTCCCTGCTGCTTCCCCGTGACCAGGGGAACACATCTCGCCTGCCTTCCAGTCTCAGGGTTTTGAGCAAATTATGTTATGGTTATGTTCTCAAGTTTGTAACATGTTACATTCTGCTCTGAAATTATAATGAAATCCTCTGTGCTTCTTCTGTTGGTTAACTCTAAAATGTGACACCCAACAAAGCACTTCGGTGTTATCATTTATGGACGGATTCACTGAAGATCCCAGCAGGAGGGCTGGACCCGCTAAGCTCACCTGCTGGAGACCATCTGAGGCAGCTTCTCTTTAAAAAAACTTGTGAATTTTCTTTTCCTATGTGCTGCTGTTGCATGTTCCTGGGGGCATTACCTTCCTGAGAAAATTAGGGATGTGCGAGCGATAACCATTCTGAGTTACTGTGCGCTTCATTTCTTCCTCTCTCTTCCCTCCCTTTCCTTTATGCTTTTTGTTTTTTGTTTTTTTTAAGTCACCTTTGGTTAATGGGTGGGGTGTGGAAGTCTTGGTTCAAATCACCTTCGCCAGGACTGTGGAGGGGACGCCTTGAGCCCTTGAGTCTTGTCACCAATGACCCATCTGGTGCCGACTCAGGAGAGTGGAGGCTCAGCCCACTGCCCGATCCTCCTTCACCCCAGAGGACGGTAGACTGACTGCACGTGGAGAAGACTCGTGTTCTGGATTGAATTACTATTCTGGATTGAAGTACTGACGGACTCCAAGTGGAAACCAAAGCTCTTTCCCTCCCTAAACCCTTCATTCCTGTCTCGCTAGGAACAGTCTTTTGCATATCCTGCCATTATGTCTGCTGTGCGTGTAGGCCCATACAAAGCAAATGGTATAAAGACTCGGTCAACAAAACTGTTTTGATAATTACAACTAAAGCCAGAGTCAGACTTTATAATCTGGGGGCCTCCGCCTCATCAAAAGAAGCCGAGGGGCTGTCCATACGCGGGTGTACCCCTCAAAGCCCCGTGGCTGCTGGTGGGAGGAACAGAGGCCGCTGCTGGGTGCCCCTGGGGGCTTCATTCCCTGAGGGTTTATGCTCTGAGCACCTCCGGGAATCGCCCTGACCTGCGTGGGGTCCTGATGTGCAGGCTCCAGCATCGCCCCCCACCCCCGCGTTACCTGGTGACTTTAGCTGGTCTTGGTAGTCGGGCGTGTACGGGTCGAGCGTACACATCAGCGAGTAGATGCACAGGGCGAAGAGTCCGGTCATCACCACGTAGAAGGCCACGTAGTAGAGGCTGATCCACACTGCGGGGAGAGGCCCGTCAGACGCAGCTGCACACTTCCTCCTCGTGGTCAGACCCACTCGGAACCCCACCTCTTCAACCCAGTGCATCTACACACAACGCTGTGCAAGCATCACCTCTAGTTCTAGAACATGCTCATTGCTCCAAAGAAACCCCATACCCCTTGACTTCAAAGTCTTTTTAAAAATTGTGAAGTTTAGGAATAATAACTAAACTGCTATTCTCCAATCTAAGCCTGAAACTTTGGGGCCAGTCAATCCTCAGATGTTCCCACCGTGTGGGTGCCTGGTGCCAGGGGGCATAAGAGCTGAAATGGGCCTCTGAGGTCACCTGGTGAGGAAGGTGAGGCCTGGCCAGAAGCCTGGGCGGGCCGGGGTCCCGGGAGCCTGGCCCCCCAGCCCCAGGCTGCTGGTGGTGGGCCTCTGCCACTCCTCTCAGATCTGCCCCGCCTTGCCCTGCCTGGCCGGACACATACCCCACCGGGACAGGGTCCGGCCCAGCATCTGCCCCGTGTCCGGGTTCCAGCAGTAGCGCTGGAATTCCTCCATCCTCTGGCTGCACGACTTCTTCTCCTGCAACGCCGCCATCGCCCCTGCTTCTGGGGGTCCCCCTCCTGCAGAAGAGACTGAGAGGAGAAAATCCGCCCCTGGGTTTTATAGTCTCCTTCAGAGGTCAGAGGCGCACCCAGCGGTGTTATCAGGCCTCGCTGTCCAAACACCAGCGGCTCCGGGCGCTCTGCAGTCCCCCTGCTATCAGGTGCCCTCCACCTCTCCCCTGGGCAAGTCAGGGCTGCCCCCTCCTTCTGGGATGCCCTTGGCCGTAACTTTGTTATGATAAGGACTAAGGAGAAATACTTTCCTGAACAGCCACTTGTTCAGCTCGGGCCCCATTCTCTCACTTCCTCCAGGAGGAAGGAAGTAAGGTCAGCACAAGGACAGGCCTGGACCTGCCACTCCGGCCGCTCGGACACTTCCTGGTCTGAGATGATGGGCAGCGGGTGGCCGATGTCATGGTATTGCAATTGCTGAGGCTCTCTGAGTGGCTCCAGACGCCGACATCTGAAAACGCCAGAATAGACAGAGGCTAGAAGTTCTGTTCCAGAGGAGAGGGTTCAGAGGGCTCCCAGGTCGCTTCCCCTCCCGTTGCCCCTGATGCTCAGTTTCCGCCGTGAGGATGCTTCCCTGAGACCTGTGCCGTGGGGACTGGGGCTTTTTAGGACTTTCTGTGTTCATGGGGGAATTTACGGCCATACAATCTAGAGATATTTTCGAAACCGAATGCAAACCACACCCCAGGCAACTACTTGAAATGCAGATTCTGACCCAGTGGGGACCCAGTGGGCTAGGAGCTCCCCGTGAGCCGTGATTAAGGCTGCAGGACCACAGCAATGTCCAGGTGGGGGACGCTTTGTGTTGGTAGCACATTGGAGTCAGCTGGAGCACCTTGAAAACTCCTGACGCTTGTCTCACCCCGGAGTTGGGGCATCTGCCTACACTTTCAGAGCATGCCATGGAAAAGCACCCTCTACCAGCGTCCCTCTCCCTTCCTCTCCTCCCTAAGGCACGTGCCCAGTAAAGGTCATTTTGATGTGTGTGCTGTTCATGTTTGGGGGAATTCAGAGACTAAGTGGGGAAGACTTAGTTCAAAGACTTCCAAGAAACAGTTCGTATTTTGCTCATTTCAAGAGCATCTCTATTTCACAGACAAGGGCAGCGTTTATTCTGTGGGCAACAGTTGCTGCACTTAGGGCCTCAGCACTCGGGGTCCCAGACCCCCAGGTGTGGACAATTATGAAATTAGGAGTCCTAGCTAAACCAAACGGCCAGGTGACCTGAGCTTCTGAGAGCCCCCCAGATTAATCTTGATGTGTGACCAGAGCCACTGGTCCAGAGACCGTAGTGGGTAGAGACATAGCTGGGGCCATGCCAGCTGCTCACTGGGGCATCATCTCTGCAGTTAGGTTGAAAGGGCACTGTCAGGCAAATATGATCTGCCACAGAGGCCTTTCTACAAGTATTTCCATCAAAATCCAATGAAAATAATGGGTATTGCACACAAAAATCTGGAATTTCATTCACTGTCACTTATAAACTTTCCTTCTAAGGGACCCATGTAGCCAAGTTAGATTTCTTTTGGAACTTAGTTCAAAGACTTCCAAGAAACAGTTCGTATTTTGCTCATTTCAAGAGCATCTCTATTTCACAGACAAGGGCAGCGTTTATTCTGTGGGCAACAGTTGCTGCACTTAGGGCCTCAGCACTCGGGGTCCCAGACCCCCAGGTGTGGACAATTATGAAATTAGGAGTCCTAGCTAAACCAAACGGCCAGGTGACCTGAGCTTCTGAGAGCCCCCCAGATTAATCTTGATGTGTGACCAGAGCCACTGGTCCAGAGACCGTAGTGGGTAGAGACATAGCTGGGGCCATTTCAGCTGCTCACTGGGGCATCATCTCTGCAGTTAGGTTGAAAGGGCACTGTCAGGCAAATATGATGTGCCACAGAGTCCAAGAAAGAGTTTGTATTTTGCTCATTTCAAGAGCATCTCTATACTTCCCAGACAAGGGCAGCGTTTATTCCGTGGGCAACAGTTGCTGCACTTAGGGCCCCAGCACTCGGGGTCCCAGACCCCCACGTGTGGACAATTATAAAATTAGGAGTCCTAGCTAAACCAAACGGCCAGGTGACCTGAGCTTCTGAGAGCCCCCCAGATTAATCTTGATGTGTGACCAGAGCCACTGGTCCAGAGACCGTAGTGGGTAGAGACATAGCTGGGGCCATTTCAGCTGCTCACTGGGGCATCATCTCTGCAGTTAGGTTGAAAGGGCACTGTCAGGCAAATATGATGTGCCACAGAGGCCTTTCTACAAGTATTTCCATCAAAATCCAATGAAAATAATGGGTATTGCACACAAAAATCTGGAATTTCATTCACTGTCACTTATAAACTTTCCTTCTAAGGGACCCATGTAGCCAAGTTAGATTTCTTTTGGAAGAAGATAATGAAAACCTGATAGCCATTATTCTGCTTGTTTTCTCAGAGGAGATTTAGAGTTTATCAGAAGAATGAGCACCCTACAATTCAGAAGGAACCACACTATTTTAGCTAGGTCTCCTAATTTTATAACTGTCCACACCTTGGGGGTCTGGGACCTTGAGTGCGGGGGCCCGGGACCCTGAGTGCGGGGGCCCTAAGTGCAGTAACTGTTGCCCACGGAATAAACGCTGCCCTTGTCTGTGAAGTATAGAGATGCTCTTGAAATGAGCAAAATACAAACTCTTTCTTGGAAGTCTTTGAACTAAGTCTTCCCCATTTAGTCTCTGAATTCCCCCAAACATGAAAGCACGTGCTGAACAGCACACACATCAAAACGACCTTTACTGGACACGTGCCTGGAGGGAGGAGGGGACGGGAGAGGGACGCTGGTAGAAGGCGCTTTTTCATGGCATGCTCTGAAAATGTAGGGGCAGATGCCCCAACGAGTGGGCTCCAGACCAAGTGGGGAACACCCCCCAGGTTCCCACGTGGGAAGCCTAGACGTCTATCATCACTCGTCTAGAGGAAGGAGAGGAAGGGAGAGGGACGCTGGTAGAGGGCGCTTTTCCATGGCATGCTCTGAAAGTGTAGGGACAGATGCCCCAACAAGTGGGCTCCAGACCAAGTGGGGAGCACCCCCCAGGTTCCCACGTGGGAAGCCTAGACGTCTACCCCCACCTGGCAGTAATGAGGTGGAGCCCAACTCCCTTCTACTGATTGACTGGAGTCAGAAACAGCCCGCTAAAACGGAAGGAGTAAATAATAGGAAAATGTTACATTTCAATTGATAATCACGCATCGTACCAAGTACCAGGAAGCTTGCAAAATGAATTAAAACAAGAAAATTGTTGAATGCCAACATCGAGGTGACAGAAATGTTGGAATTACCTGGCTGATTTAAAGCACCTATGATAAAATGGCTTCAGTGGGCAATTATGAACATGCTTGAAACAAATGAAGAAAATAGAGAGCCTCTGCAAATAAAAAGTTTAAGGAAAGAAATAAGATACATACACTGATTTTAAAGCACCTATGATAAAATGGCTTCAGGGGGCAATTATGAACATGCTTGAAACAAATGAAAAAAAATGGAAAGCCTCAGCAAATAAAAAGTTTAAGGAAAGAAATAAGATACATACAAAGAAGAACCAAATGAAAATTTTAGATGAAAAAATACATTAACCAAAATAAAAAGCTCAAAGAATGGGTTCCACAGCAGAAGGGAGGGGGCAGAGGAAAGAAAAACCAATAGAAACATGGAAGAAAACGCGATAGAAACTACCTGATCTGAACAATAGGGAGAATGTAAACTTGAACAAAACAGCACAGAGCCTCAGGGATAGGGGGAACTGTAATAAAAATCTAACATCCATGTCATCAGAGTTCTGGAAGGAGAGAAGTAAGAGGGCAAGGCTGAAAACTACTCAAAGAAATAATGACTGAAAATTCCCTAAAATTTGGCAAAAGACATCAACTTACAGATTCAAGAAGCTGAGCGAACAGATAACCATGACCTCCGAAATCTACACCAAGATGCATCATAACTAAACTTCTCAAAATTAAAGACACACACAAAATCTAGAGACAGACATTGTATGATAATAAATGGCCAATCCACCAAGAAGATATAGCAGTCCCACATGTATATGCACCAAACAAGAGAGCTAAAAAATACATAAAGCAAACTGATAGAACAGAAAGGAGAAATAAGCAGATCCACAATTTTAGAGACTTCAACATTCCTCTCTCAACAACTGACAGAACAACTAAATAGGAAATCAGCACAGACATAGAAGAGCTCAATAACATCATCAACCATCAGAATGTTGTTGGCCTTGGTAGAATAATCCACCAATCACAGCAGAATATACTTTCTCTTTATGTGTTCATGGAACATTTGCCAAGATAGACCATATCCTAGGCCATAAAACAAAGCTCAACAAATTTGAAAAAGAAAATGAAATAATGCAGAATGTGTTCTACAATCCTAATGGAATGAAACTAGAAACTAATAACAGAAAGAAAACAGAAAACACTCCAAACATGTGAGAACGAAACAATACACTTCTAATATATGAGTAAAAAAGGAAGCCTCGAGGGAAATTTCAAGAAATACATGGAGCTGAATGAATGCTACAGCAGTGTTCACAGGAAAATTTATAGCACTAAGTTAATATATAAGAAAAGAGGAAAAGTCTCAAATCAATAATCTAAGTTTTCACTTCAAAAACTTAGAAAAAGAGGGAGGAAAGCAAACAGGAGGAAGAAATAAAAGATGAGCAGAAACCAGTGAAATTAAAAACAAAAGAGAAAATCAGTAAAACTACAAAGAACTGGGTCTTTCAAAAGACCAATAAAGTCAGCAGAACTATTGCAAGAGAGAAGGAAGACATAAATAACCAACACCAGAAATGAAATGAGATATCACTACAGACCCTGAAGACTTCAAAAAGATAAGGGAGTATCATATACAACTCTACATATGTAAACTCGACAACTTAGATGAAATGGACCTGTCCTCAATGCACATAACTCATTCAACTTGAAATAGATAATTTTAATAGCCATATAACTAGTAAGGAAATTGATTTTGTAATTTAAAACCTCCCAATTCACTGGAAAATTTTACCAAACATGTAATGAAGAATTACAAATTATATACTATATCTTCTAGAAAATAGAAGAGAAGGAAGCATTTCCCAACTGAT